GCTATTTCAGCGATTTCAGGTGGCTGCTCGCTCGTTTGCCACCTATTGATATAAAAAAAAAAAAAGGAAAATTGTGTGAGGGTGAAGATATCTTGTTCAGCCATAATTTTCCTTCAAGGTCGTAGAAACCAACGGTTTGATTGTTCGTATGATAACATGACTTTTGGAAACATTGTCAATTGTGTAATTTTTCAGATTTCGACAAAAGAGAATCGAAGTCAGGCCGCTCTTTACCTTTGGAGAGATTCCTGCGTACAACTTTAGTTCCTATGGGCAAGCTGAGTGATCCTACATTTACGACGCTTTCAACGAATTTTCTTGTATTTATGACGTCAGATGTTCTATCTATACATGATACAAGTGAGTTTCGTACATACTTAACCACATTGTACCATATTTCATTTACTTCAGATATTTTTAATTTTTCGACTTTACATGTTAGGTATTTTTTAGTTTGTCTTCATCTTTGTTTGTCTCATCATAGTCATGAGATGCTTAAAATTTAGGGTAAATATTTGATTAATTTCAGTTAATTACATCGCATGGAAACCTTACTGTTGCCTTCCAAAAGGCAGAACTGACAGAACGTGTGTACCGAACATGATACCTGACGACGATCCTGTTCATAGATTTTCTGATATCAGATGCCTGAATATGACGAGACCTGAAAGTTTTCAGTCAATTGGTTGCATAAAAAATTATACAGCTCCGGAACGAGTGAGTAACCTTGTATAAATATAGCCTAAGCCTACCCGTGGATAGTGTAGCTTCCTAACTGGGAAAGATTTTTTTAAATCGGTTCAGCAGTTTCGGAGTCTATTCAATGCAAACAAACAAACATTTTTTTTCTCTGCATGTTAAGAGTGTAGTAGTATGTAGTATGGGTGAGTCAAGGCCATCCTCATCTCTCTCAATGTGGTATATATAATAAATATTTTCTTCTACAATAGATTTCATTTGAAAGTATGAAAAATAATTATTATTTAAATTACAGATAATAACAGGCACACCGTCGTTTGATCTGTCAACAGTTTACGGTAGTTCTTTGAAGCCTTTGTTGGAAAAAGGCCGGCTATT